TAGCCGTTGAACATTTTAGATGTATATTATTGTATTTGTTTGTGTTTTATTCTATGCAGTATGCCAATAAAGGTTCCTGAATACCTGAATACCTAAATAAAGTAAAGTAAAAGTAAAAATCTCAGAGACAGATCTCAGGCTATCAGGGTGGTTAAAAATGAATGATTTTTTAATCACATTGATTTAAATCATGATTTAAATTATTACAAATCTGATTTTTAAAGTTTAAAATTGCACTGGGCCGCATTATGAGCCAACCTGGGCAGCATGCGGCCCTTGGGCCGCAGCTTGGACAAGCTTGATTTAAATGATTACAAATCTGATTTTTAAAGTTGAAATCAAATCCTCCCTGCAGGCTAAGCCATCTCTCTCCCCATGTCCTTCCACTGATGGGCTAAGGCATTTTTATGTAGGCATGCCCTGGGCTACCAATTGGTCCACAGTGAGTGGCCTTTTAAGGGTGGGTGGACATTGGAGGGCTTTGTTTTGTTTTTTGGTTGGGTTTTAAAAATGACTGTTACGAGGTCTGTGTGAATTCTGCATGGCTCTAATGCAATTTATTATTAAATAGTGTTGTACAAGTTAGCGTGTTGGACTCAGTGATGGTGAGTCGCTAGCAGAAGAAACAGAGATGATCTGAGCCAAAGGTCTTTGCCTGCTTTTATGGGTCGTTTTATATTATTTGCCTGCTTTTATGGACTGTTTTACATTGCTTATGCTAATAATAAGTCAAGCTGAGAAAAAACCCACACATACAAACATGCAAAAGAAAGCTCCAAGAACAAAAACACTGGACACTACAGTTGGAATATTAACAAAAAGAACAGCACTGTCTTGCTGGAGGATAAGACACAAGAGTCATCATTTTAGTTCACTGAAAGCATATGGAGTTGCCATGTGCTCCATTTATGCAGTGCTTAATCTGATCTGATGATATGCTGTTTCATACACGAAATCCAGCCCTCGGCCATGTGGAAGAATCCCAGGGACTACCTTTGAGCATGTCATGAGTATCTTCTCACCACTAACCTCCACATATCAGACTATAAGCAAGCATTAGAGATAGCCCAAGACTAAAAGAGGAAACTAATACATTTTTCTTTGAGCTGAAACCACTTTCATATCTTTCTGTATTCCCTTCTCATTAAATCTCTGCAATGTGGCTGATTACACAACAGATTTTTGTACACAACAGATTGCGTACCAGTGTTCACATATGCTGTGCGATGCTAATATCATTGACGATGTTTTCAAACTAAAGCTTCATTCTTAAGAATAGTGTCTTCCAGGTAAACCACCAAAACGGAGTTGGGAAAACATCCCTTACTATGTGTCTTGTCAGCAAAGAATTTCCAGAAGAGAGAAAGTGGAAAAATACAAGAAACAAAAAATTCTATTAACTCCAACCTCATATTTTCGCCCTGTCGAATGAAGTATATCAATTACTGAGAGACCAGCATACATATAAATGTATAATAACTGGGGAGAGTGGAACTGGGAAAACACAGGCAAGCAAACTTATTACATTGTACGCAGCTGCTGTTTGTGGCAAGAAGTGAATCAAGTAAAAGAACATCTATTACAGCCTAATCCCATGCTTGAAGCCAACAAAGGAAGAGGCATTGGAGATCATATTGCAGATATCTGCTGGCTATTGAAGCACACTAAAAAGTTTCAGAAGAAGATCAGTTTATAGTTTATATAATACAGCAAAGCCTTTAACTGTGTATGAGAAACTATGAGTTGTTCTGAAAGAAATGTGTGTGTCAGCAGTTGATTGCCCTGAGAAACTATGAGTTGTTCTGAAATAAATTTGTGTGATTGCCCTTATGCATAACTTGCATTGTCGACAAGAAGCTGCAGTCGGAACAGAATATGGAGACAGTATGGTTTCCTACAAGAAAGTTGTGCATTTTTATTCCCTAATCTGTTCAGCATGGTTTCCTACAAGAAAGTTGTGCATTTTATCCCCTAATCTGTTCAGTTTGTAAACAGCAAATATCATATGGAAAGCCAGACTAAATGTAGAGGAAAGAGGAGTTAAAATTATTGGAAGAAGCATCAATAATTTAAGATACACAGATTACACTATCTTATTGGCAGAAAGCAAGAATGACTTGAAACAACTTTTTGGGGGAAAATAAAGAAGAAAATGCAAAAGCAGGGTTGTAGTAGAACATTAAGACGACAAAAATCATGACTACAGAAGAACTACACAACTTTAACATTGACAGTGAAGAAACTGAAATTGTTAGATTTTGTATACCTTGGTTCAACCATAAATCAAAATGGAGAATGCAGACAAGAAATTAGATGACTAACACTTGGAAAGGCAGCAATGATGGAACTAGAAAAGATCATTGAGTGTAAGGATGTGTCACTGGAAACTAAGACCAAGATAATCTACACTCTTGTATTTTAGTTCGCCATGTATGAGTGTGAAAGCTGGACAGTTAAGAAAGCTGACAGGGGCAAAAAATGATTCGTTTGAAATGCCATGCTGGACGAAAGCTTTGTGGATACTCTGGACTGTCAGAAAGAGAAATAAGTTTCAGAACATATTGTACTTAAGTAGAGACCCCACTGTAGTGGAAGAAGCATCAATAGTTTAAGATACACAGAATACGCTATCTTATTGGCAGAAAGCAGGAATGACTTGAAATGACTTTTGGGGGGAAAATAAGGAAGAAAATGCAAAAGCAGGGCTACAGTAGAACATTAAGATGACAAAAATCATGACTACGGAAGAACTACACAACTTTAACATTGACAGTGAAATTGTTAAGAGATTTTGTATACCTTGGTTCAACCATAAATCGAAATGGAGAATGCAGACAAGAAATTAGATGACTAACACTTGGAAAGGCAGCAATGATGGAACTAGAAAAGATCATTGAGTGTAAGGATGTGTCACTGGAAACTAAGACCAAGATAATCTACACTCTTGTATTTTAGTTCGCCATGTATGAGTGTGAAAGCTGGACAGTTAAGAAAGCTGACAGGGGCAAAAAATGATTCGTTTGAAATGCCATGCTGGACGAAAGCTTTGTGGATACTCTGGACTGCCAGAAAGACAAATAAGTTTGTCCTAGATCAAATCAAGCCTGAACTCTCTCTAGAGGCAAAAAAAAATAAATAAATGTTGAAACTCAGGTTGTCCTCCTTTGAGCAGATGAGAAAGAAGATTCCTGGGGGGGGGATGCTGGGAAAGGTGGAAGGCAACACAAAAAAAGAGAGGAAGATCAAATACAAGATGGACTGACTCCTGAAAGGAAGCCACAGGATTGAGTTTGCAAGAGCTGAGCAGGGCTACCTAAGGACAGGACATTTTGGAGATCGCTCATTCATAGCACCACCGTAAGTCAGAGCTGACTTGACTGTGCACAGCAATAACATGCTGTATTCATCTTGCACGCCTCTTGGATTCTTCTGGAGAAAAGAATGAAGTATAAATTAAATAAATAAAGACAGATGTGAAATAAAGTCTACAGATCTTAAAGATGCCAACAAGTGAAAACTAAATATACAGTCATTAATTTTGTTTTCCATGTTGCTATTACCCTAGAAATAAACAGTTCCCTTAACAGTAAAGAATCAATGGTCCTTCCACTCTCTCTGAGGTTATGTTACCTCAACGGGCTGTTAGGAAAATAAAATACGTGGGAAAATAAACCATATGTGCTGTCCTGAGTTCCTTGGGAAAGGGTGGGGGACGAAATAATAAAATAAATAAGATAATTGTGCTGATATTTCATTTTAGGCAAGCTTGGTACAAATATTATTGTCTACAACCAAACCAGGCCCAAGTTATGTCCTGTGCTGAACACGTTTGAGAAATCTATATTCAATACTGAAACTTTAAACATTAATATTGTTGTGTTCTGCCTGATAGCATTCTTATCAGTTTTTGCATATTTTCCTTAACAACAAGTTAAACATTTCTTATAGTACTCAAGTAAGAGAAAGGGACTTAAGGGGAACTCTGGAATGTAGTACTTCGGAGGCATGGATAAACTAAGGAAAAGCACTTGCAAACAATCTACAAATTACCCTGACACTTGAGTAAGCAAAGAGGGATATCTTTCCCGTTTCCACATACTGTGTATCACAATGGATTTCATCCATGTTTATTCTGAGTTAAGCCCAACTGGCCTACACCATCAGATGCGTGTGCACGGGATGGCACTTTCAGTGACAGAAACGTGCCTTCGCGATCTTTGGAATCGGAGCCTCAACATCCAGGTTTCCGTTTCTTGGAAGCTCCACACGGCGGTACCTCATTTTGAGACACAAAGCATTCCTGCGGCTATTACGCAATTTTCCCTGCTCCTGGCCCGAGAACTATGGCAAAAAACGGCTTCTCCTCAGCCACGACTTTCTGTCTTCTATTACGTGCCATTGCAACACCGCTCTCCGCGGCGCCGTATTGTTTGCACGGCTTTATTCCTCGTTTCCCAGTGGGAGAAGGGAGCCTGGCATGCAAGGACCTGCACTTCAGAAGCACACCGCTCAAGTTAGCAAGTGGAGTTGTCTCCTAACCATGGCTACAAAAGCACGTGGAGAGAATGCCTCTCTGCTTCAGGGAGATGCCCGAGATGCCCCACGGTGGGATCCTTGAGTAAAGCACGGATGGAACTTGCAAGGCACATTCAAGCCGCACGCGCAACCAGCCTAGGCAATCCCTTCGCGCTCCGAGCGTCGTCCGCCTGTGCAGTTTTCCAAACCGCCCGGCAAAATCGCCGCCCGGCTGGGGCTTTCCTGCGCGCTCGCCAGACCAGACCAGACCAGTGAGTGCCGGGTCCTCTGCCTCGCTTGTCAAGATGTCAAGCGAGGAGCCAGCCCAGCTTCCTTATTGCTCTCCCTGGCCGCGTCCTCGCTTCGCCCTCTCTCCTTCCCGCCCGCTCCCAGGTCCCCTGGCCCGGCGAAGGAACCCAACGCCGTCCCTCCAGCCCGTACCCCCCACAGCCGCGCCCCTCCAAATTCCACCGTCTCCGGCTTACACGTTCGGGGCTGCCCTCCACTCTCCTCGGACGCGCCAAGTCCACGCTCTCCCCTCACTTCCAGGGCGCTCGCTCGCTCTCCCTCCCTCTCGCCTCGGGGGCTTCTCCCTTTTCAGACGGGCTGCGTTTTCATTGGAAAGGAGAGCCCAGTGGGAGGAGCCACGGCCTTCTGTCACGGAGCTCCGTGTTTAAGGTGGCGCCCAAAGTTGGCCGACGAGACCAAAGCCGAGCGTGCTTCCCTCACGTCGGTCGGTCACACGTTCAATGACGGAAGAGACGTGAGGAAGGGAAGCCGCGGGGAAGAAAAAAAGGGATTAGACTGACCGACCACCAATTAAACCAGCTACGTAGCTATGAGTTGGCGGGAGACGTTACTTCGCACTCTTTGTCTCCTCCTTCCTTCCTCACTGCGCCTCTAGGGAGAAGAGGCAGCCTGTCTTGTCGTGGCCAAGTCGCGCAGTCCCCAAAGCCCCCCTCCCCGAAAAGAAGGGAATGAGAAACCACTTCTGGAAAGGGTCGCCATAAATCCGAATTGACTTGAGGGCATGGGAATGAAGCTGAACGTCCAACAAGGAGTTTCCAAAGAGGTCTCTGTGTTAAAGCTGTGTCAGCCTGGAAAAGCAGACAACTTTGCTGGATGGGGAGGGGCCATTTTCTGCCTCCGGGGGCAACATGGGCCATCTAAAATGCTCTCAAACACAAACAACTGTGGAGTCAAAAAATAAGCGTGTTCACACTATGGTGTCAACAGGGCATCGGTGGTGTCCCCTTGGAGACCTAAAGGAGCTGCAATCCACATTTTCATGTTGGGAAAGAGGGAGGACAGCCGGAGGGCTGAGGGTCACCAATACAGCTTGACAGAAACGCATGTGGCTTGTGGTTCATTCTTTGCTCACCACTTCTGTAAAAGAGAACAGAAACCTGCAGATTTCTTCAGACACATGGACTCCAGAGTACACCAGGCCACATATATATGTGTATGTTCCAGTGTACCTGGTGGTGGGGATGGGATCAGAGTGAACTGGAATACAGAAAACTACAGTCTTCTTAATACTGGCAATGAATTTGCACAATGCTACTTAGCATAAACATCCTGCCAAAGGTTATTTACAATGCAACTTAGGTGAGGGAGGAAACTATGTTACATGCTGTGAAGTAGCTTCCAAATTATGTCAACAAAAAAGAAATTTTGGCAACTTAAAGATTAACTGCCATATTTTATTGTAAGCTTTCGTGGAACATGCCCACTTCACCAGACAAAAGAACCGGAATAATTTGCTTGCACAGACTGATACTGCTACAACATCCAAATTATTGCAACCCTAATAGGGTTTTTAAGGTATGTGAGATATTCAAAGAATGGTTTACTTTTGCCATCCCCCAGGAAATTTCTGTGACTGACTAGGGGTGTGAAGCCTTGTCTCCTGAGTTCTAGTCTAGCAGACTTGGACAGAACATGTTTACCATTCCCAGAGATCTATCAGTATCTTTCCTCATCTGCCATCTGTAGTCACTGATAATTGACACATTCTTTATTTGAAATTTGACCGTTCTTCAATATTGGCTTGCAAGGATAGAAGCAAGTGGGCCTGCTCATGATGAAAGATGCACAGGGTTCACCACGTTCCAGGAAGAAGTCTCAATTTCTGTCAGGGATAATGAGATTTGCAAGAAATTTGCATTATTATGAGGAATCGTGAAAGCAGCATTATGTTCATACAGTAACCACTACAGAGTTCATAAAATGGAAAGAGGTGGCTAAGGAAACACTCTAATCCAGTTTTATGGGAACGAGGACAGTAGGAGTCAGCAGCTGCAAAACGACTACCTTACAAAGTCCTTTGCTGTTGCGGGGGAGAACAATGTTTCAAATAGTCTGCTAAGTACAGGACAAAAAGCAAAATAGAGTGAACAATTTAAGGCCCAAAAGGTGTTTGGGGACTACAGTTCTCATAATTCATCATCATTAGTTCTGGAGTTAGGGCTGAAATGAGTTGAAGTCCAGAAGGCTTTAGAGGCCACGCATTATCCACCCCCAGCTTAGGTTAAGTGCCAGAATAAATGTTTTATGAAAGCTGGTCAGTGCTAGAACAACTTGGGAAGCTGGATGATCTCAGCAGATGCCAAATGGTCCTTTCTATAGATATGTTGCAGCACAGCTTTTCCCAAACAGACACCTTCGGAATGTATGAGACTACATTTTCCAATATCCTTAGCCATGACAGCCATTGTCCATGGATAAGATGGTACTAGTCCAACACAGGACCTGTTCAGATGGGGGAATTTGGAGTGGTCTGGTTTGCACTTTAAAGGTTCTTACCTTCAGCACAATCTATTTTATCTGTCACCCGAGTGATCCTTCTTTTCATACTGGAGACATTTATTCTCTTCTGAGAAGGGCCCACAGAAGTCTTTGGATCACTTGTTTATTTAAGTGTATGTTTACCCAGTTTCCTCATGAGTAAGGAGGCAGTAACAGTGGCAGTACTTACAAGAGGGAAAACCACTGGGGTGAAGGTTCTGGAAATGGAAGGGAGGTGGCCCACCCCTCTTTCTGCCTAACTGGGGCTGTGCTGCCTTGCGGGGGGGGGGGCAGAGCCCATGGATTCATACGAGTAATAGACCTTCTCCCCATCTTTTCCTGCAACCATCATTCAGTGGGTCATGGTGACATCTCTTTTGGGGAGGGCAGTTAAATAAAGTAAGTGGGTTATCGAAATAGCAATGCATCTACCTAGCATGGTATTAGAATTTTGCTGAGTCAGTTAGGGTGATATTGTAAAAAAGAAGATGAAAATAGAGGAGTGTTTTCCCCATCCTCCCTTTCAGTGTCACTAGCCACCCAATACACCACAGGATTGTCACCTCAAATAGTGCTGCCCACAGTTCCATTTGGATGCAGGCTAGTCATCCACACAGGCTGCAGAAGAGGATAATTAAGAGGACCCTGAATCATACAAAAAACAAAACAAAAACTAGAAGTCCTAGCAATGTGCCAAAAATGAGCTCTTAGAGGGGCAGGACAGACTAATCTAAGTAGAATTATGTGTGGACAGAAAAGAAGAAAGAACATTTTATGCTGAAAAACAAAAGGTGAGGTTTCACAATAAAAGGAACATGGTCAACTGTGGACTTTTACATTTTTAGGATTTATTTATTTATGCCACCCAGGAAGTCTCTCTCTCTCAGTCTTTAAAAGCCTAAAATAAAATAAATTGCAATGAATTCACTTCACTATGTGGATTCACCCTTCCAACACCAAACACTAGGAATTATACCTAGAACTGAGATGGCAAGGGTCTCAGCAGTCTAAGTGGCAGCAGCCTCATGTTCATTTAGATCTCTTACTCACAGCCCCACTCTTCCTTAGCCCCATTCCTTTGTGCAGAATCAGTATTTCACAGGGTTTACATTTATACCAACCACACAGTTAAAACTGTCAGTCCCTGTGTTCTAAGTCTCCCTCAGTTACCTGATTAGTTGTTGTGTTGACGTGATATAATTGGCAAACATGCTTTTAAGAGGCTGTTCAATTCATTTGTCAGTCAAAACATTTTTCATCCATTCTTTTAACTTTAATTGGGCAGAACCTTAAAACTTTCAGTATTGAGAATCAGGTGGAAGTGAGCAATCTTCAGAAATCCCCTGCCAGTAGAATGTATGACCTTTGCCCATTATTTGCTCATTCCTTCCTTACTGCTCAGGTATCCTTGGTTGTTAAACAAAAACAACTCCCTATTGACTGAAACGGTTGTCCCCAGTTCCAGCCCCAACAATGACATGCATGTATTTCTAGTTTTCAAAGTTGTATCCATGTTAATCTGTGCAAGCATTTCAACAAGAAATACAAAACAAAAGTAAAAGATGTTGCGGCACCTTAAAAAACTAACTGCTACATTTTAATGTAACCTTTCATGGAATACATCACCTCCTCAGACATAGGAGTTAGAATAATAGAAACAATATTTCTAGTGTATCTCTGGCACTGAAAATAAAAACAAGTTTCAGAAGCTCATGGAATAGCATGCCTGTGGTAGGACAGGATGAATCAGTTAGATTGACTGGAGTAGAATTTCACAAAATCTGATAGGCCAGAACAGAGTCTGAAAGGTTCTGGCGTTTATTTTTATTCACCATACTTCTGCCCCTCCTTCTCCAATGAAATCAAAGCGGCATATGTGGATCTTTTTCTCCTTGCTCTACCCTTACGACAATCCTGTGAGGTAGTTTAGGCTGAGAGAACATGAAGATCCCAAAATGAGTTTCCTGCTAGAGCTTGGACTTCAGTCTGAATTTCCCCAGGCCCAGTGCAGCGTGCTATAACCACTATAGGGCACATCAGGCTTCACCAATTGCAGTATTGGTCAACCTAAACTACTGGCAGACTGGCTGCCTTTTTTTTTACCAGCTAACAAAGTCCTCTTTTAAAGGCCGTGTGATTACAGAGCAACATCAAATTCATTTCTAGGAAGTGTTCAGTGTCCCCCACCACCACCAACACTGCAAGCCAAGGAGCAGAGTTGCAGGTCTGTTTTTGACAAGAGGGGTTGGACAAATTCATTGGACCAAAGCAAGGAAGGGCAACTGTGGCCCTCAATATGTGTTTTGTAGCCTAAAATTTCTCATTAGCCTTAGTCAACATAATCAGATGTCACTGATTATGAGAGGTACAGTCTGGCAATTATGTGTTTTGTAGCCTAAAATTTCTCATTGGCCTTAGTCAACATAATCAGATGTGAGTGATTATGAGAGGTACAATCTCAAGGGCCATAATTGCTCACCTGGATCAGATGCAGTCCAGGGAAAGGGGCTAGAAGCCTGAACCTGGCCAAAAATATGGATGTGTTAATTCTTTGGAGTACATCTCCTATAATCCTCCCAAAAACGTAATCAGTGGCCATACTGGCTAGTTAATTCTGGGAGCTGTAGTCTATAAAGGTAATGTTTTTAAGCTTTGTTGAGGGTGCAGCAATATGGATGAGGGCCAGAGCTTGTCAGCTCTAGGGCCCTTGAACCATGGATTTCTGCACCAGGACCTCCAGAATAATAAAGGCTAGACACATCCCTGAGAA